CGGTAAGTTAGCTTCCACCTTGGTTTTTAAGTTCTCTTATGCCGTCCCTCCCCTCGGAGATATATCTGCTGGATTAGGAAAATTGAGGTTTAAGGGTAGATTTTCATATAAGTGGTATAATTTCAACCATCTCCTAGTCTCCTTCACCCTCCCTGAGGATTATAATGAGGCTTGGGTTAAGACCTCTATCTCTGTGTGTGGATGCCCTGCTAGGGTGTTCAAGTATACTTTCAGGCTCAACCCGAAGATGGAGACGCCTGTCGTCCCCGTGTTGTGCCGCCTCCCCAGCCTTTCACCACACCTTTATGACCGAGATTCCATCACCACACTTGCAAAGTGTGTCGGAAAACCGGTCCGCATTGATGGCCCGACAGCCCTCCAGTCGAGGGCTAATTTGGCACGATTTTATGTTTAGATCGATCTCAGGGTTGAGCCAGTCCATGAGATTGAGATTGAGCAGGGTTCGGAGACTTTTGCTCTGCGGGTGATCTATGAGAAGATCCCCGCATTCTGTACCTCATGCAGCCATGTGGGGCATATAGCGACTGACTGCTACATTAATGGGAATAAGCCACGACCCACTATGCCTCCGCGCCACCGCGCGACTCAGTCGGGACCCTCCAATGGTCGGAGGGACCCGAAGGGAAAGGGCAAAGGCCCTCTCATGCGCCCGGGTTCCCAAAGGGGCCAAGGATAAGGGCAAGGCTGTGATGGTTGCCACTTCCCAAAATGGGAAGGATGTCCTTGCTAATCAGCCTAAGCAGTTGGCTTTAGTAGGGCCCAAGGCCAAGGCCACGGGCTTTTTTCCCAGAGAGACCTTACTGTAACACCCCACTTTGATTTTAAGAAAATTCCGAACTTTCTAAAAATCAGAACAAATTTTTCGAATTCATTTTTGAAATCAAGGGCATTAACCAACACATTTTTCTTAGTCCAAGTCGTGTCTGGACTCACGGGGATTCATAAAACCCGATTTTTCACAAGGTTTTCATTAACCTGATTCACACTTTAACATAATCTCCAATATGAATAATTGAAACTTCATAAATCAAACACCATGACTATTCAAAGTTCATAAAAGGTTTTTCCAAAATAATTTCAAACATCAAACATAGTTCGAAAAACCGTTTTCACATGTCAACAACATAGAAGGTTCACACTACTAATTCATTAAAGCGGAAGCAGAACGAAACAATAAATAAACCACCACTCGTCCTTTGTCCCGTCACCCGGCCACTGCTTAACCTGCATCCGTGAAGAGCAGGTGGGAATGAGCACAAATGATAAAGTAGTGCTCACTACTATGCACATAATAACATGTAAAGATGGTATGGTCGCAGCATGAATATAAATCAATCATCATCATGTCTCATCTCCTAATAATCACAACAATAACTCACTCATGTTCACATCTATCATTAGCCGCAAAAAGGGAATGCATAAACCCTAACGACGGGAGTGCGTGCCACTGTAACGGACACGGCCTTTCATTAGGTCTTAAGGAGACTTGCCTCGCAAGGGCAACCGTACCGTAACTCGACGGGGACGACCGTACCGACGGCCGTAACAGCTCACATCGGTAGGCCACATGGTTCACATTCATACATTGGTCATACCAACTAAACATTAAACAACACTTATGGCATAGAGAATTTTAGATTAGAACCCACCTGGATGATAACAAACGAAAGCACAACAATAACGGGTAAGCGGTGAGCTCGGCTCGTCAAGCACTTACATTTATTAAAATAGTCCTATAAATGACTATTCAACCCATGAATAACTAATATAATAATAAATTAATCCAATTATGCTCACATAAGCATTTAATCAAGGAAATATCATTTTCGAAAGTACCACATACGTTTTTCAAAATTTAACCCGGGCAGCGTTTTTAAAATCAACATAACTTTCAGTACATAACTCGGATAAATATGATTCAAGTTGCACTGTAATCCTAAGGTATGCATCTACAATTCTTATGAAGACATGAAAAGTAAATAAGGTCGTTTACTAGGAAATAAATCATCAAACATTCAAAACTTTAGTAGCAGTCAAAAGTCGAGAACTTGTAACCGACCAGACTTCAGTATTTACTAGATAACTGGAGCTACAGACACGTTTTTAATGAGATTCAAAAACCATGTGATAGCTAACTCAAATTTCTACAACTTTCATGCAGACTACCCTTGCAAATAATCACGTTATATAGCCTTATTTCAGAACATACATTTTGAATATATACACAGCCACTGCATCGAAAATTCTGGACATAAACCCAACTTAGAAAAATTATATAAAATCAACTAAAACTCTAAATTGCATGATTTAAACTTCTTTTGAAAGCTTATAACATGTACTACAAGTTTCATGATGATTACATTTTCATATAGCCATATTAGGATCATCAAAAATAGCCTAACATCTTAATCGCCAAACCTGCCCGGATATATAAAAACAGCATGCATGTACAACTTCAAAAATTCATAATAAATTCAAATCAATTCTAAATGACTTAATTCAAAAACTAACAGATCTTTAACTTGATTAGCTACAATCTTTCAGAAGACAATATTGACAGATAACAATATCATCGATGAGTTTAAACACAAAACATACGGTTTATGAAATCTGATAGGAATAATTTCATGCTACAAATAACACCTCAATATATTAACTACAACTCATGCTACCGAGCTCATATCAATATGTACTTTACCTCACTAGAACGATAAGAAATATATCTACAACTTTCATGATGGTCACTTTTTCAGATGAGCATTTTAAGATATGATAAACATATCAAACATTAAGTGAACACAAGCTGCCGGGATTTTATAAAAACTGATTGCGCGACGATGTTTGGAAAATCATAACTTAATCGATATAAATCGGATTCATGAAATTCTAAAGGCTGGAGAAAGCTAATGAAACGAAATACATTTCATATGAAGAATACATTTTCAGAAAACAAATGCTTGAAGTCATAACCGAGGAACCTTACCTCCTTCAAGAAAACAAAAATGTGGAGAAATGAAAGGGGTGTTGCTCGGTCCTTCTACTTCTCTTCCTATCCTGCTTGAAATCCGATTTTCTCTCTATTTTCTCAAATTATTCAGGTTTTTAATGGTC